GACGCAGTGCGCTCGATGGCATCAACGCCAACGTGTGCCATACGGGCATGCCACATGTCCACCTTAGACCGCACGCCCGTCGTCAAGGTACGAAGGGCCACCGTTTCTCCTTCCTGCTGCTGCGTCGAACACGGCTGGAAGTTCGTGCAGAGAACACGCCCCCTGAACTCTGCACGCCCAAGAAGCGACCCATCTGGTGCCCGCAGCAGAGTCACGTCGCCTGCATCCAGCAGCTGCACGCCACTATCACGCAGCTGCCCAGCAGAAAGAAGACTCGCCTGCACTCCAGGTACGTACAGCACGTCTGGCACCAAGACACGCCTGCCCCCTTCTCCAAGAAGAGCGACTGTGCCTCGCCCCTGCACGTCCTGAAGCGCGCCGTTGAAGCCTTTCACTTGTTTGATACTACCGCCGCTGCTCATCTCCACAAAGGCAGAACGATCTCCCATGAGATGGTGGGAGCATCCGCTATCAAGTAGCACGACGCTCGGGTTCGCCTTCACAGCAGCTGCAAGAGCCTGTAAGCCCTCCCCGGCCTCAGGCTCCAGCACGACAAGAGGAGTCTGCTCTACAACGGGCTTCACCATCGCACATGATGACTGCCCGCTCCCCTTAGAGCCATCGCCCCCCTTGCCACTCGCGCCGCTGCCTCCAGAACCCTCTCCACCCGTGTCTGCCTCCTTATCTGCCCGCTGCTGACAGTACTTAGCAACATGCCCTGTCTGTCCACACACGTAGCACTTCCCCTTGAAGCCACCTTTCCCCCCCTTTGGCTGACCATCCTTAGCCCCTTTCCACTTCTCTCCTCCACCTCCAACCCCACCCCCAGTCTTAGGCTGCTGCTGCTGTGCCGTAGTGGGAGGGGAAGGGGATGAAGTCTGCTGGGATTGGGGCTTACCCTTCTTGGTAAAGACCTGGTTGGCCTGGGGAAGAAATTGGTCCTTCCGTCCCTCCGCTGCCAGCGTACACTCCTCCTCGATAATGTAGCTAGCGAGGGTGTCCTCGTCCAACTCCTTGCGTACCTGCGGCAGCTTCAGCATCCTGCGTAAGAGGTTGTACTGCTGCGGCAACCCCTTCACGACGTGAGTAATGTACGACGCCTGCGAGTAATCGACGCCGGCCATCCTCAGGTTCACTAGGATCTGCTGCGCACGGTTGCAATAGGACGTAGCGGACTCGTGCTCACCCATCTCGAGGTTAGTGAGCGCCTGCTCTAACTGACCGATGTACAGATCGTCCTTCGCCATGTACGTGCGCATAATAAACTGCCATGCCTGATAGCCGGCATCTACCTTCATGCGACACCCCTTAAGGGCAATCTGTACGGTTGGGGAGCAGCATCGGGAAATCGTGGTGAACGTCAGTAACTGCATTGCGCGGAACTGAGTGAGATGCGCAACTGCCTGCGTTGGTGGAATAGGAGTGGTACCGTCAATGAATCGCTTTAGCTGAGCGATCTCAAGCTGCGGCTCGATCGATTCTACCCATGTCGACAGGTCGTGGCGTCCTTCGAGTGGCCTAGGCACGACGATTTTGTCTGGAGTGAATTTGAAGAAGCCATAGTTGGGGGCTATTCCCTCGTCCCTCGACATCGATCCAATCGGGGTAATGCCTGGCATAGCTCCACTATCGTACTCCTCCGCATTCCCTCCTCCAGCAACGCTCCGTCGTCCTACGTTCGCACGCTCGTGTGACGCCGCTGCGCGATGAACACGCTCCTGTATACCACCGACGCTAGCCGTACTAAACCGAGTCGTTCCTCGCAGGACCCCACGCGACACCAACCCATCAAACTCCTCGCCATCACTATCTCCGCCATCGACAGCCATATCCCACGCACTAGTTCCTCCCGCGGCTTGCTCTACACGTGGCGAGGGACGATCGCGACGCTGACGAGCGCGTATTCCCTCCAACATGAGCTCGTAATTTTCATTACTAAGCTCACCACGAGAGCGACGAGCCACGAGGTCCTCCTCTAATGCGCGGAAATTATCGGCCTCCACGTTCGCCTCCTCCGTACTCATCCTTTACGACGCCTCTATAAGGTACCACAAATTAAAATAAATTGTCCCTTCCTTAAATCCCTCGTCTCGGGGTCACCTCACAAGGGTCCTCAGACGAGTGGTAATAAATTACCAAACGCCCTATCCTTGGGTCCGAGAACGTAACTGGAGGGAAATTAAGAGAGGTTCAACTTAAATTAATAAGCGCCCTTCACTAACGCCGCACGCCAAGGCGAGTATACGAACGCCAATAAAATCGACGACGGAATACTATGCGTGTTCGTTCCACGCTCACCGCACCATGAAGGAATACTATGGAGAGCGTTACGACGGCGAGAGAGTTTCGGCTATGGGAATTGATGTTGTGCCAGTAATCCGGTAGCGTTTGGGTAGCGTTGGTCTCAAATGACTAAGTGAGAATTTGAGTAGAGATTGGACTTCACTAGGAAAATAGAATATATGAAACACAAACAAACACACATGCAAATATAGGCTACGGGAGAGTTGCACAAAGTTGCCGTGGCGCTGCGCAGTAACCCAACCCCACGAAACTGTCGTGTGGGTGGGTGAACGCGCCTCGGCCAATTCCCAACCCAACTCAGCAGCGCAAACCACTTCCGTGCACGCCACTCCAGCCAACACTGCAAGGAGTGGCGTGACTCTCAAAGAAGCACGCCCAACTCCCAAAGACCCACGCCATCCTGCACTGACTCCGCCGAGTTTGCTGCGGTAGCTCGCTGTCACCCACAGTCACTAGTGACTGCCACCGAACGCATGCGTCGGTGCCGAGTAGACTCAGTCGTTAGGCGCTGACCTGCCAAGTCAAAGGTCATCGAGGGCCCTTGCTGTCGTAGGGCCCTCTAACAGGTACCTCATTTTCGCTTCCAGGCTTCAACACCCGAAATTCTCCTCCCGTAAACGAAGGTCCCGTAAAAACCAGATCTAAATGGGTTGAGAACGAGCATCGGCTCTCCTTTTCGCAGAATGGTAGGCAGAATGCCTAAGCTTGTATTGAGAACGAGCATCGGCTCTCCTTTTCGCAGTCGCAGCTTCTCGAATAAAACCAGACGTATTCTAAACGCGGCTTCTCCAATAAATCCAGACGTATTGTTCTAGCTTGTATTGAAATTGAGCTTCGCTAACGCCTCGGCTATTCGGAGTCGCAGCAGCTCTAAGAAAGCGAGCAGAAAGAAGCTGAGCGTGAGAAAATGAGAGCGCGAGGCGAAAGCGCAGTGAAATCCGAGGCTCAGGCGAGAATGAGGCGAGAGACGACGGTGACGCTGGAATGAGGCGGAGGGGTCACCAACTGCGTCTCCTCTCCTCTCCTCACAACAACCCTCATCAGATCTACCGTCCAGAATCACTGGATTGACTGAAACTTTCTTGGTAACTCGGATCTCAGCCGTAGGTTCGAACCTTTTGCGTGTTTCGTCACGGCAACCGTAGCAAGTTCCGCATTGGTCTACAGGCTAACCGGCTGTGTTGGGTCGCGAGGAAAAATGACGGTGGATGCGAATGGTTGGTCCGGTCAGGCTTATTTTTTGACAGGGAGATTCGAGAGTCCACATCAGTGGCTGGTTGAAAATCGTCCGCGTGGCACATGAATCCCTTGCCGGTCAGGGAAGCGAAAAGATATTGCCAAGAATACGCTGTTCGCTAGGCCCCTCCTTTCACCTCAGCGACTACGCGAGACAAACGACACCGACTTTTTTTCAGCGAGATTCCGTTGACAAAGGCGGGAGCTGCGGGATTTCGCTGGTGAACGTTGGACCCCATGACCTAGGAACCGTCGATTGTCGCCCGATCTGGAGTCGCAGAGTCGTCGTGTCAGTTTGGATCGCGGCAAACCCAATGGTTTGAATTCGAAGCCCTCGTTCCTACCACAAGGAGCAAAGTGAATCCCATCCGTGGATCTAGGCGAGCAGCTGCGGTTGAGATCTGGAGGTTGAGCTGATCCACTTTCTGTCTCTGGTCTGTGTAAGGCGAAGTTCTGGGCAAATGGGCGAAGATGGCGAAATCTCTTAGTTTCGCAACTCTGCTGTTACTCATCGTTGATTGATCGAGGACATTATCTTGACACCCGCTGGCTCCTCTGATCCGAGAAGCAACGTGCTGAACTCATCACCGAAACTGGTTCCGGCAAGGTACACCAATCAGTATTAATTAAGTTTTGACACAATTGTAGAGTAAGCATTTTGATCAAGTATTGAATACAGCCCATAATGCCATCTTAAAACATTTGGCTGGAATCTAACGTCATTGCAACCTCGAGCAGTCTAGGTAGCCGTGCGGCATGTCTTGGAATCGCTGATTCTTCCGAGTCCGTTTCCTCTGTTGCTTGTGGCACACTCTCTCTGTGCTTGCTCCTGTGCTGTGTTGGCTGCTCTGGTACAAAAACTCCCCTGATAGAGATGCATGGGCGTGCTGGTGTGCGTCCCAGGAAAGTGTGGTTCGAGGAGGAGTGGGTATTCTCCGTCTGAGGCAGAATGGTAAGCAGCTGACGGGTTTATTGCCAACTTGCTCCGTAACTCCGACTTAGCAACACATATGTGACAAGTTTACATTCTTGCTCCGTAACCCTGACTTAACAAGACTTGCAAAGAGGACCTCAATGGTGTGTTGCTTGTTGGAGGAGGCAACAGCCTCACTACCAGTATGTTTGCAGATGACAACCCCAGCGGCTGTCCTGCTTCTTTTAGGCCACCTGAATGGGGTCTACCAAGCGGCGAGCCTGCTGCTTACAGACACTGCTCGAGAAGTGCCCGACACTGCTCTTGATCTTGGCGTGCGTAAAATCTGAAGAGACACCAAACAAAACGTCTCAATGCAACATCTAGAGTGTCGGATGCTCAGGCCACGTGAGCAGCCATGAGGTGGACGACCCGGCGAGCCTGCTGCTTGTAGAATCGCCCGATGCTGCTCTTGATCTTGGCGTGCATCGAATTTGTTGAGACGCCTAAAAAAGCGTCTCAATGTAATATCTAGTGTGACAGATGCTCAGGCCACGTGAGCAGCCATGAGGTCGACGACCCGGCGAGCCTGCTGCTTGTAGAATCGCCCGATGCTGCTCTTGATCTTGGCGCGTGTCGCTTCACTAAGCTCTTTGTGCCACGCGATTGCAACCCGCACGTGCAGCACCGACCGCACCTTTTCATCTCGCAACACCCCCTCTTGTAACCCGCTCGCTCCAGCTGCTGTTCCGCCTGGTGTTCCTCTCTCCCCACCTGCTCCTCCTCCGCTGTCCCCTGCTGCTGTCCCGCTTGCTGCTGCTGCCCCTCCGCGTGATGTGAGCTTGAGTGCGCCTGCTGCAGCAGCCAGTGCGGAGGCAACAGCAGCTGCTTTCCTGGCGGCGCTTCCAGCAGCTTCTGAGGTGCTTGAGGACAGGCCTGTATCTGCTGCGCTGCCCTCGCCTGCTGCTGTGCCAGCTGCTGTGCCTGCTGCCGTGCTTGCGGTTGCTCCTGGCAGGGTGAATACTCCCTTGGCTTGGATCTCTTGGAAAATCTCCAACTGACAGGGTAATTCCAGGGGAGGCAAGGGGCGAGGGAAGAGAATGAGTGTTCTGAGCAGGTGAGGGGAGAGGGAGAGAATTGTCAAAAAAGCGGGCTCAACTCTACCTCAGCTGAGACTCCTTGCTCCATGCTGCTGGGTAAGCTACTTGACTATTTTGCTAGACTACTCGTTCATTCCCTCCCACCTGAAAGAACTCTGGAACTCCACCTCAGAGCTATTTGTTGTTTTCACCTGAAAGCTGTCGCTGAAGGGCACTCTGTGGAGAGTGAGCACTTGCTCCAAACATGCCCACTGGATGGCGCCCTCCTGGCCGCCGCCCGGGGTGCCGCCCGGGGTGTTGCTGCCTGGAGTGCTGGCTTCCTGAGTCATCTGCTGCACCGCTGTCACAGTTGGGGAGAGGACCGGGACCTGCCCAAGGGAGCGTCGGGGGAGGTAGAGGGGCGGTTTGTTGTCGGAACAAGGATATCAGCTCGCTGGCCTGGCCCCTGACTGGTGGCCCTCATCTGCTTGAGATGCAAACACGACAGTGTTTGGTGGAAGTGAAAGGAGAAAACCCATGAGCTTTCCTCACCTGCCCCTGATCTGATCAGTGGCCCACTTATTTTCTAACGCGGAGACTTGGGGCGATTGGTCGGTGGGAGGAGGAAGGTGCTAAAGGGAGGTATGGGCGAGACAGCGACAGGCAGGCGGCTGGTGGGAGCAACTGCCTTGGGCACAAGTGACAAAACAGAACCAATGCTGACCGCTGACTGACTGCTGCCATGCCAACCAACGGTGACCACCCAACACTAGCCCCGAATCTTCAAGAGGAGAAGCACTTGCGCGACGAAGAGGGGGTGTGGAGGGGACGTTGTGGGGCCAAGAGCAGAACGAAGAGGGGGTGTGGAGGGGACGTTGTGGGGCCAAGAGCAGAACGAAGAGGGGGTGTGGAGGGGACGTTGTGGGGCCAAGAGCAGAACGAAGAGGGGGTGTGGAGGGGACGTTGTGGGGCCAAGAGCAGAACAAAGAGGCGATTCACTTCCCCTCCCTCACCTGCCGTGAGAATCGGTACTTGACGCTGCGCTGGCGCCGAAGTACGCCGCTCGCTCTGCCGCCCGCCCGGCTGTCCGTCCGGCTGCCCCGCCCCGTCCCCCACAGACACTGGCTCCCAATTTCAGTCCACCTCACCTGCCGTGAGAATCGGTACTTGACGCTGCGCTGGCGCCGAAGTACGCCGCTCGCTCTGCCGCCCGCCGTCCGGCCCTCCGGCTGCCCCACCCGGCCCTCCGGCTGCCCCACCCCGTCCCCCACACCCACCGACACAACCTCCCAGTCACTGATCTCCGCCCCCATCTGCCCCGCCTTCTCCATCACAGCTGCAGCGACTGCTGGGTCCTCAAACGAGGTCAGGAACTGCTGTACCGTGATGGGTACGGCCACTAGTTGGTCATCTATCACCTCCCTCATCTCCACTCCCACAAACGCCCCTCCACCATCCTCCACCGCGATAGACTCCCTTCGGGAATCCGTCACCTCCTGACCCCCTCCCGCCCCCCCTCTCCCCCCCCAGAAGTCGCCTCTGCTGCTAGTGGCACCTCCTGCTGCTGCTCCAGCTCCCCCGTCCCTCCCCACATTGGTACCCTCGCCTCTCTCCCCACTAACCTCTGCCACGCCTCCCTCCTCCTTGGCTCGAGCGAGCTGCTGGTCAGTGGGGAGGTTGCGGTTTCGCCACAAGGCCAGGACAAGACGGAAGGCCACTCCTGGGCGGACGAATGACTGGAATCGGATCTTCAGCCGCCCCTGCGAGTCCACGCCGTGCGCCGCTGCCCGGGTTTCCGCCGTCCCCTTGTCCTTTTTGACGAAGACAGTGATGGCCGGGTTGAGCATGCGCTTGAAGGTCTTCATGCCGGATTTCTGGCCGGCGGCGGCTGTCTGGTTCTTGGCCGTTTGCGCGAGCGAGGCAGTTGTCTGGTTCTTGGCCGTTTGCGCGAGCGAGGCAGTTGTCTGGTTCTTGGCCGTTTGCGCGAGCGAGGCAGGGTCGAAGAGAGACGGGACGCTGTCGTCTATCCCATCGATGTCCTCCCAGAGGAGAGTGAATTTGATGCGCGTGCCAAAGACTGAAGAGTAGAAGGCGAGGAGGCGCGGGGAGAGGAAGAGGCGGCCCTGGGAGAGCAGCCCTTTCCTGAGAATGCAGGAGAAGTCGTTTATGAGGCACTCGCTCTCCGGTAGGTCAAACAGCCGCTGGAAGGCCAGATTCTTCTGCGCTGAAAACTCCCTCACGCCCCCCTGGTGGGGAGAGGGAGAGGGGGAGGACGAGGGGAAAAGGCAAAGGTGAGGGGGAGATAAGTGGTTGGATGTGAAGGAAGTGGGAGATTCGCAGGGAGGGACGGAAACGAGAGCAGAGGTAGCTGTTGCTTAGCCCACTCATTCATCAAATCACTCTATTCCCTCTAGCAACTTCCCACTCCCGGCTTCCCTCTCCCAACTTTCATCTCCAGCTCTTATCACCTTTCCAAGCTGATATTCTGAAGCAGCAGAGGGGCCGCAGAAGCTGCTAGACCCACACGTTCATTCAAAACGCTGCACCCTATATATACATACCCTTGCCGACCCCCCCTTGCTTCCCTCCCCTTGCTTCCCTCCCCTTGCTTCCCTCCCCTTGCTTCCCTCCCCTTGCTTCCCTCACCTTGCTGCCCACTTCCTTGCTAATCTTCTGAAGCATCAGAGGGGCCACATCCTCAGAGGTATTCGTCAGAAGCACCCGAACATGGATCCGGGCAGCTTGAAATTTCGCCCGCCTGCCCTCCAGGGGCACCCAGAGGTCCGCGAGGTCCTGCGCCGACTGGCGGAGGAAGTTTATTTCTGCCCGGCCGAGCAGGGAAGGTTCCGAGAAGGGTCCATCGTAGTTGAAAACCTCGATCTCCAGGATGGAAGGCGCATCTTCCATGGCATCGAATTCAAGCACCTCTGATGGAGGGTGGGTTGTGGGGGGGTGGGTGTTGGGGAAGGGGAGGAGGTGGAAGCGGAAGGTGGGGGGAGTTAAGCAGTGTTCTGTGAAGAATGAGCTTGATCTCAAGGATGGAAGGCGCATCTTCCATGGCATCGAATTCAAGCACCTCTGATGGAGGGTGGGTTGTGGGGGGGTGGGTGTTGGGGAAGGGGAGGAGGTGGAAGCGGAAGGTGGGAGGAGTTAAGCAGTGTTCTGTGAAGAATGAGCTTGATCTCAAGGATGGAAGGCGCATCTTCCATGGCATCGAATTCAAGCACCTCTGATGGAGGGTGGGTTGTGGGGGGGTGGGTGTTGGGGAAGGGGAGGAGGTGGAAGCGGAAGGTGGGAGGAGTTAAGCAGTGTTCTGTGAAGAATGAGCTTGATCTCAAGGATGGAAGGCGCATCTTCCATGGCATCGAAGTCAAGCACCTCTGATGGAGGGTGGGTTGTGGGGGGGTGGGTGTTGGGGAAGGGGAGGAGGTGGAAGCGGAAGGTGGGAGGAGTTAAGCAGTGTTCTGTGAAGAATGAGCTTGATCTCAAGGATGGAAGGCGCATCTTCCATGGCATCGAAGTCAAGCACCTCTGATGGAGGGTGGGTTGTGGGGGGGTGGGTGTTGGGGAAGGGGATGAGGTGGAAGCGGAAGGTGGGAGGAGTTAAGCAGTGTTCTGTGAAGAATGAGCTTGATCTCAAGGATGGAAGGCGCATCTTCCATGGCATCGAATTCAAGCACCTCTGATGGAGGGTGGGTTGTGGGGGGGTGGGTGTTGGGGAAGGGGAGGAGGTGGAAGCGGAAGGTGGGAGGAGTTAAGCAGTGTTCTGTGAAGAATGAGCTTGATCTCAAGGATGGAAGGCGCATCTTCCATGGCATCGAATTCAAGCACCTCTGATGGAGGGTGGGTTGTGGGGGGGTGGGTGTTGGGGAAGGGGAGGAGGTGGAAGCGGAAGGTGGGAGGAGTTAAGCAGTGTTCTGTGAAGAATGAGCTTGATCTCAAGGATGGAAGGCGCATCTTCCATGGCATCGAATTCAAGCACCTCTGATGGTGAACAATGGGAGGGGTGGTTGGTGGGAGGAAAGTTGATGTTGGAATCAGAAAGGTGGTCTCAGAAAGACATCGATTTCGAGTATGGAAGGAGCATCCTCCATAGCATCGAATTCAAGCACCTCTGGTGATGGGCGGACGGGGGAGGGAGAAGGGGGGCGGGGGGAGGGGGTTGGGAGCGGGTGGGAGGAGGAAAGTTTAACAGTGTTCTCTGAGGATCGAAGGCGCATCTTCCATGGCATCGAACTCAAGCACCTCTGGTGGTGGTGAAAGAGATGAAGGAGAGCGGGAATAGGAGCGTGTGGTGGGAGGAAAGTTGAACAGTGTTGTTTGAATGACCTCGATCTGCAGGATGGACGGGACGTCCTCCATGGCTTCCAAATCCAAGCACCTCTGGTCGTGTGGTGTGGGTGAGGATGGATTGAGGTGGTGCAACTGGGAGGGATTGACTCAAAAGTCACTTCGTTCCCCTCACGTCACCGACCTGCTCTGCTCTGCACTCACACCTGCTCTGCACGCACCGTTCCACTTGGGCATGTTGGTCTGCAGCTTCACAGAGCTGCCTTGAGGACACCCCCGTGCTCACCCACCTGTCTGCGCTCACAAAGGCTCTGCACTCAGTCCTGCTCTGCTCTCACCGTTCCACTTGGGCATGTTGGTCTGCAGCTTCACAGAGCTACTTTTGAGACACCTCAACGTTCACCCACCTGTTTGCACTCAGTCCTGCTCTGCACGCACCGTTCCACTTGGGCGTGTTGGTCTGCAGCTTCACAGAGCTGGTGCGAGTCTTGCCGCTGCAGGTGAAGACCACAAAGGGATCCGCCTTCACCACCACACCCGCGTCTCCGATGTTCTCCCCCTCTACCAGTGACACTGTCAGTAGCCACCCCTCCCCCACCGCCTTCTTCCCGTGGTCGCCCTCTGCTCATGCAGAGGATGACATTAGAGGGAAGCGGAGAGGAGGGAGATGAGCAAGAGTAGGGAGATTGAGACAAGCGCATTGACAGAGGCTGCTTTGATGGCCTTATGCTGTTCTCCCCTCCATTGCTCTCCCCTCTTCCATCAATGACACTGTCAGCAGCCACCCCTCCCCCACCGCCTTCTTCCTGTGGTCGCCTTCTGCTCAGTGGAAAGGATGAGGCGGGGGGGCAGGGGAGCAAGATGTGGTGGAGGGGAAGAATGATGTGAAAATGTGAAAAGAGGGTGAGAAAAACAAGGAACAAAGCTTTTGTGATGCGCCTCAAAGACCAGTGCTACGATGATCCAAGGCTAGATGGGTATATGGCTCGACGGATAGACGGCTAAACGGCTACTCCCAAGCACCGCTCACCACTCTATCCCACCACTCCAGTCACGCGCCCCCCACCCAACCTTGCTACCCCAGCACTCACTCTTGATGTATTTGGAAACAATGATGCCTCGTGCCATGGTAACCACATGCTTGGTGGAGATCAGAATCACGGCGCACCATAGCAGCTCCAGCAGGCTATCCGGTAGGTCTAGTAGCGGCAGCACCACCCCTGCCCCTCCCCGTGCCACCAGCACCAGGTGCATCGGCAGCAGCACCACTGCGAGGAAAAGGACAAAGAGCGCAAGTGGGCCTGCCGCCCGGAGTGCAGCCTCGGCGATTGCCGCTTCCGAGGGGTGGAGGCGGGGGGGGACGCCGAGGCGGGAGAGGAAGCGGGCGAGTGGGGAGGAGGGAGGAGGGGACGTCGAGGGTTGGGAGAGGGAGGTGGATGGTGTGGTGGAAACGAAGGGAGGGACGTGCTTCGTGAGCACCTGAGAGAGTGTTGAGGGGAGGGGGAGGAGGGGGTTAGGGGATGCAGGGGATGGATGTAGGGGAGAGGGGTTAGATGGAAAATGCAGCACAAATGGCAGACGGGAGAGAAGCAGAGTGTGGGGTTTCCAGAACTGGAGCAGATTCGTGAAAGGGAGAGGAAGGTGTGGAAGAGCGAACTGGGCATTCCTATAGAAGAGCGAACTGGGCATTCCTATAGAAGAGCGAACTGGGCATTCCTATAGAAGAGCGAACTGGGCATTCCTATAGAAGAGCGAACTGGGCATTCCTATAGAAGAGCGAACTGGGCATTCCTATAGAAGAGCGAACTGGGCATTCCTATAGAAGCATGCAATGCAAGCAAGACCCCAGGGCCGGTGCGCATGCCGTAGACAACATGAGGCATGAGGTGCCTCATAAAGACACTCACAGAGAGGAAGGTGGCATAGGTGTCTTTGAGGCCGGTGCGCATGCCGTTCTCTATCATGCTTTTCATCATGGTGCTCTGCAGGAAATGCGGCTCGTACGACACGCACAGCCGACTCTTCACCCCACCACCCGCCCTCCCTGCTGCTGAATCTCTCCCATCACTGGCTGCTGCAGAAACCGCGACCCTACTGCTGCTACTGCTGCTATTCTGTTCGCCTGTGCTCCCTCCTTCTCCTGCTCCTCCAACACTTTCTTCTGTAAACGGAGTGACGCAGAACTGAAGGTGTGTTTCAAACGTGCTTCCATACGGCACATCAGGGGTTTTTGCCGTCACAGCCACCAGGAATCCCCCTGCGTCTGCCCGCACACACACCATCTCCTCTGTTGCCTGCACTGACTTCACCAGGGAGGACGGTGCGGTCATGTACGATACAGTGCGGTGCATCACGGCGCCTGTATCTTCCTGCGGCTGCTCTGCCCCTGCGCTGCCTTTGGGAGCAGCAGGCGGAGGCAGGGTGGCGGGTGGCTTAAAGCCCTTGTGTGCGGTGCTGCGATTGAGCTTTGCTCCACTGTGACCGCTGCTGCTGCTGCTGCTGTCGGCAAAGTACCATGGGCCGATGTTGAGTTGAGTCAGCTTGCGCTCTGTTTTAAGGGAAGGGAAAAGGCAACGAAAGGTTTTCAAGTTTACTCAACACACTTGGAGAAAGATGGGACCATAGGAGGAGAGGTGTGACGATGGGGGAAAGACGTGTAACACAAAGCCTGAAACAAAAACCTTTTGAATCAGCTCAAAGCGCAACACGCACCGCTGGCAAATTCCTGGAACAAGGGCGAGTCGGCCTTAAAGATGGCAGGAGGTTAAGGACGAGTTACCTGTTGGATCCAGGTCGAATCTGTCTTTCTATGGAACAAGGGCGAGTCGGCCTTAAAGATGGCAGCAAACAGCACATGTGGGGTGGCATCAAAGGCCTGCTCCACCAGCACACCGCCTCCAGCTAGATCCCCGGGCATGGGCCCTGCATGGTGTCCTTGAGACATGTCAAAAACACCTTGCAGCTCAAGACTCAACACTCACCGGCGGCGAATTCCTGAAAGAAGGGCGAGTCAGGCTTGAATAGGGCAGCAAAGAGCACGTGAGGGGCGGCATCAAAGGCATGCTCCACCAACACACCGCCTCCTGCTAGCTCCCCGGGCATGGGCCCTGCACTCGGCACATCCCTCATATCCTGCTCCCACCACACCCCCGGCACCTCCACCTCCCCCACTTCCCCTGTGCCCTCTGCCCCTCCCCCTGCCTCCCCACTCCCCCCTCCGCTCGCCCCGTCACCCTCCCCCAACGACCCTCTCCGCGACTCCCCCTCCCCCTCCTCCCCCCCCTCATGTGAGAGTGAACTCGGCGCCTGCACGCCCGCACCCATCTTGGCACCGCGCACGGACTGCCCGGCCTTGGCAACGCTGTTTTCCACGGCGTGGCCGAATGACCGGAAGGCTGATGCGGCTGACAGCTTGGACGCGTGTATGCGCTGCTTCAGCTGCTGCAGCTGCTGCGGGTTGGGCTTTAAGGATTCGGAGAGGGACTGGAGTATTTGGTGCCGCGGTTTAGCGACAGCTGCTGCTGCTTTTGTTGTTGTTGCTGCTGCTGCTGCTGCCGGTGCTGCTGCTGCTGCTGGTGCTGCTGCTGCTGCCGCTGCTGCTGCTGCTGCCGGTGCTGCTGCTGCTGCTGCTGCTGCTGCTGCTGCTTTTGTTGCTGCTGCTGCTGCCGGTGCTGCTGCTGCTGCCGGTGCTGCTGCTGCTGCTGCTGCCGCTGCTGCTGCTGTGCCATTTTCGCCGCCCTCCTCCTCTTTACCTTGAAGGTTGGCGGATGCGTCATGGCCTTCCCCTTCCCCTTCCCCATCCACTTCCTCTTCCCCTTTCTCCTCCCCTTCCGCTTCCCCTTCCCCTTCCTCTTGCCCTTCTCCTTCCCCTTCACCCACCCCCTCTCCCCGTCCCTCCTTCCCCTCACCGCCCCACGCTTCCCCCTCGTCTGCTTCCTTGCACGGGGAGAGAGCAGCTGGTGTGACTGTAACAGACGGGTCCGTATGGCGGCGCAACGGGAGAGAAAAGGCAGGGATAGAGGGGGAAGGGGCGGACGAGGGAGGGGCGGCGGAAGAGGGTCTGGGGAAGGCGAAGCTCATAGTAGTGATGAGGGTGGGGGAGGGCGAGGGGGAAGGCGCAGCAAGGGGGGGAGTGGACGGGCCGGCGGAAGGGGAGGAGTGGGGAGGAGTGGGCGGAAGGAGGGGGCTGGATGGCAGGGTGGAGGAGGAGGCGGATTCCGCCACTAACGACGAAACGCCCCACAGGCTGGCGGAAATCAGAATGTCGCCTGTAACCGTCGCGCGCGGTCGCGCGGGCCTGTTCTGTAACGGGAACCACGTCGCCTCCAGCTCGTAGCCGTCGCACGCCATCACCTGTCGCACGGGCAGCACAAGCTGCCCGAGAAATTCCTCCCCTAGAAAGACGCTCTTGTCCCACACCGTTAGCAGCAGTTCGTCCTTTTCCATGTCGCTGACCGAAAAGAGAAATTCTTCCTGCCACGTCGGATCGTTTTCCTTAGCTACACTCTTGCTACGCGCCTTCGAGGCGCCCATCTGGAGCCGCACGAACGCGTCTCGCGCGCCGCCATTGTCCTTGGGCGGCAGGCCGCGCGCCTCGAGAAGCTGAATCTGAAGCTTGACGCCCATTGGTGGAGAACGCTACAGCAGGACAAGGCAAGCGCGACATGCGCAGAGCTCAGCAACGCATCGGACGGTTCGGATTTGCCGCTGGTTGGTCGATAGGGCGGTGGAACTCTGCTGCTAAAATGCACGGCGCAGCACTAGAGGGAAGATCAGGTGTGAGTGAGGCCGGCAGAAAGGACCGTTTGGGGCACATAAACTAGAATACCGAAACACTAAGAGTCTGCTCGGACGTAGAGCGGAGGTGCGGCTCTCGTTCCCTTTTTGGTTCGTCCATCAGCCAGCGCGGCGGAGCGTGACTGCAGAAGTGCGCACCGCAGGAGTGCTCAACGGACACACGAAGAACGGACGTGCAATGCTAGCAGGGTGGGGATGAGGGTGGTTGGTCGAATGCTGACGCTGCGCGCGACCTGAATAATCAATTAGAACCTGACCGAGCGCGCAGCATTGGTGACGTTTTTAAATACAGGTGACGAATACGCTGGCTAGGAGAGAGCGGACTGCGCCGCCATTTGCGGGATGCGCGAGGCTGACTCGGACGAAATTTCAATCGATACTGACAAAGTTCCCCGAAAGTCACCGCCTTTGGCCTCCTCGGACCAACAAATTCGTACGGTGGCCGAAAACCTCGTGAGTGACGTGCAGTGGGGTGCGAGAAGGTGCGGTGAGGTTGGGTGAGTAATGAAATGGAATGTTCGCTGGTGAGGGGCGCAGGAGAAGCGCAAGCAGCCCACGAGGCGGAGTGACGGGTTGAGAATGCGAGCGGAGTAAGGGGAACGCTTGGCGTAAAGCTTGACTGGCGCGCAGAAGGCAAGGGGGAACGAGAAGCTGGCCACAGTAACGCGCTGAACTTTTGTCGTTCATGAATTCGAAAGGAATCCGCTTCTTATAGAGATCCCCCCTTCGTTAAGATCGAACAAGTAACAACGCAAGTACCGGTATGTGTGGATGACATTTAGTCAAGCAATAAACACACAAAAATGGTATTCATCCTAATCATGCCACGCGATATTCCTTGTCACACCTGCAGAATTGGAAAAGCAGGTTAACGCCTGGTTCACTTCGACAACCTAAGCTTCACTTTTTACATTCTTGTTGGTCCAGTCAACTATCAAATCCCGAACCACGAGGTTCGGCATGAGGTGCTTGTGAGGCATTGGCTCGTTGGTTATGGGGGATAGGTCGGCTCGCTCCAACCACATTTGAATGGCTGCTTTCTCGTAAGTGTACCCGTCTGCTGCTAACACTGGCTCCACCATTATTTTCTGCATGGACAGGACAAGTGTAGAAGGAAAAACAATAGGGGGGTTTTATGGGGATGAGACATGGTCAAGCAGGAGTGGTGAAACATCGTCATGCCTCATACCCACCACACAACCGTGCCTCACACTCCCTAAACTCTTCTCCTACCACCCAACCTGCACACTCAAAACCCCTTGCTTTCAGAGTACACCCTAGACCCACCTTGTTGATCGGGCACAGCAACTGCTTGGGCACGTCCTTGCTCCCTCCTGACCGCCCACCCTCCTTCCCAGCAGCTTCCTCTGCCTCCGCCGCCTCATCCCTCGCCCGAGCCAGCAGGGGCATGACCTCACTCTCCAAATCCGGCCGTTTCTTCCTCCGCATCTCACTGCACCGCACTGCCATCCTTGCCACCTCCATCGCCAGCCCGATCGGCCACTCGCCCGCCTTCTCGTCCAGAAGCTTCCCAAAAGCTTCCTCATCCTCCTCATCAACAGCCTCCTCTAACTCCTCATAAGTCGTCGGCTTGCGCCCAGTCAGAATATCAAATAAAATAATGCCGAGCGCGTACACATCGGATTTCGGCCCGTAGTCCCCCGTTCGCTGGAACTCCGGGTCGACATAAGCCAGAGTCCCCACCGGCACTGAATCATGCGCATGCGTGTGGACCTGTGACCCCGTTCCCGGCATCAGCTTTGCCAGTCCCACATCACCAAGCTTTGCCACTAGGTTCTTATCGAGGAGGATGTTGGCGGGCTTTAAGTCGCGGTGGACGATGGGGATGGGGCGCGCGTGGAGGATGAGGAGCGCGGAGGCGACTTCAGCGGCGATGCGGAGGCGGGCGAACCAGGGGAGGGGCGGCGAGTTGTTGGCGCAGAGCAGGCGCTCCTCGAGAGTTCCGTTGGCCATGAACTCGTACACTATGCAGTGGTGCGACGGACAGCACCCCAGTAGCATCACCACGTGTGGGTGCTGTATCTGACTCAGCACCTCCACCTGAGGGATCGGTGAAGGAGCGGGACAGAGGGGAGGAGGGTGAGAGCCGGGGGTATCAAGCGAGCTGGCGATACTTTGCCGCCGGCCCCCACACACCGTGATACCAGCTCGCTTCACAACCTCAGTCACACACATTAAGTATCATTATCCCTCTTCTTTGCTCACCCAAGCCTAACTCCACAATTCACCTCTCCCTGAGCTTTACTTTCCCTCCACCCCCTTCCCTTCACCTCCCTCACCCCCTCCCCCAACACCCCACGTCCTCCCTCTATCTCACCTCCTGCTGAAACTCGTTGGTGGCCTTGACCACGTCTGTGGCTTTAAGAACCTTCACCGCCACGCGTGTGTGGTGCAGCCGCCCACCGTACACCGTGCCAAACGCGCCCTCGCCCAGCCGGTTCTTCGGGTTGAAGTTGTCTGTCGCGGCCTGTGAGTGGGGTGACGGGGGAAGGAAGGGGAAGAAGGTGTGATTGGGAATACTCTCAGTAGCTGTGCCTGAGAAACTGCCTACAAATGCGCCCTCGACTCTTGAGTCGACTCAAACGCGCCCTCGCCCAGCCGGTTTTCCAGGTTGAAGTTGTCTGTTGCCGCCTGTCATGGGGGGAGGAACAAGAGAATGCGCCTACAGTTGTCAACCCTGCCCACCGGAATTTAAAGCGCCTGAAATTGGATTCATCCCATGCTTCAACCCACCTGAATCTCTTCATAACTATACACACGGTACTGCCCTCGGCCAATCACATGCTTCGTAGCCGCAGCCCTTTTAACCTTCCCTTCTCCCTCTCCTCCTTTCTCCTTCGCCTCTCCCTTCCCTGGCACCTCCCCCTCTCTTTCCTCTGCAATCTCAACCACACTCCCACTGCTGCCACCATCCCTGCTGCCACTACCCCTACTGCCACCGCCACTGCCACTACCCCTGCTGCCACTGCCACTATTACTGTCACCACCCTCCCTGCCCAGGGCATTATTTCTGAATCCATCCTTCTCAGAACTGCCCACCAGGCTAAGCCCTAAGTCAAGCTCCTCCTCATCTTCCTGTACCTCTCCCAACTCCCCTCCACCCCTCAATCTTCCCCCTCTCTGTTCCTCCTGCTCCTTCTCGCCCTTATCACCCCTCCTCTCATTCTCCTCAGGGCTAAGTAGGTCGATTTGGAGTTCTGACATGGAAAGAGACAAACCCACATCAGCATCTGGCTGCTTGCCGCCCTCTGTGCTGCCCGATCCCTTGTCCATACCCAACGAGCTGCCGCCCAAAAGGTCGACCTGGAGATCGCTGACAGACGAACACTCGAACCCTCCAGTAAAGGAAAGGTTGCTATTCTGGGAAGCATCTTTCGTTAGCGCACGGCTGTTTGAGCCTGGGCCGCCGCTGAGTGAGCGAGAGGATAAGGAGCTAAGGTCAAATGTGGAGGAGGATCCGTCTGTGAACCCCACCACACCACTCCCAGCCGCACTCAATATATCAATCTGCAACTCGTCATCCTCCTCCCCTTCTCCCTCCTCCTCTTCTTCCTCCTCCCCTTCTTCCTCCTCCTCCTCCTCTTCCTCCTCTTCCTCCCCACTCTCCTGCCCCTCATCCTCATCCCTCCCATTCCCTGTCTCATGCCATCTAAAGCCCTCCCTGTTCCCTTGCTCGAATCTCTGGTGCGGGTTGTCTCCTCTCTGCGCTAGCCTCTGTGCCGCTGCTGCTGCCGCAGCCGCCGCCGCTGCAACTGACGGCTCTGCTCCCCCTGCTTTACCACCTCTGCTGCCGCCACCCCCACTGACAGACAACCCCGATTGCCCCGTTCGCCTTACTGACCCCGCTCCTCCTCCTCCTCTCTCTCCTCCATCTTCCTGTTTCGTTTTGCCCGCTGCCCGGGCCAAAGCTGCTTCCACTGAAGCCAGCTTCATCCGGGCAGCTTCGAATTCTTTCTGCGACTGTGCCAGCTCATAACTGTACTGCGACTGGCCGGCCCCTTCTCCCTCGCTCCCGCACCTTGCCACTCCACCCTCTCCCCTCACCTGCCCTGCCCCCTCCTCCCCCCTCCCTCCCCACGGGCTCGCCTCAGTAGGCGCCTCCCCCCGCCCTGCCTGTGCCTGCACACGCATCTGTAGCAGCCGCCTCTCTGCATACAGCCTTGCTGCTTCTGCTTCCTTTGCCTGTAGCCGCATCTGCTCTATCTCCATCGCTGCTGCGCTCTGATGTGCACAGGACGAAGGTGGGAGAGGGGGGAAGGGGAGGGGGGAGGATGGGAGAAGGGATGAAGAGTAGAGGGAGGAGGGCCTTTGAGTCGCCTCTCAGCATGCAGCCTGGCTGTTTCTGCCTCCTTTGCCTGTAGCCGCATCTGCTCTATTTCCATCGCTGCTGCGCTCTGATGTGCACAGGACGAAGGTGGGAGAGGGGGGAAGGGGAGGGGGGAGGATGGGAGAAGGGATGTAGAGTAGAGGGAGGAGGGCCTTTGAGTCGCCTCTCAGCATGCAGCCTTGCTGTTTCTGCCTCCTTTGCCTGTAGCCGCATCTGCTCTATTTCCATCGCTGCTGCGCTCTGATGTGCACAGGACGAAGGTGGGAGAGGGGGGAAGGGGAGGGGGGAGGATGGGAGAAGGGATGTAGAGTAGAGGGAGGAGGGCCTTTGAGTCGCCTCTCAGCATGCAGCCTTGCTGTTTCTGCTTCCTTTGCCTGTAGCCGCATCTGCTCTATCTCCATCGCTGCTGCGCTCTGATGTGCACAGGACGAAGGTGGGAGAGGGGGGAAGGGGAGGGGGGAGGATGGGAGAAGGGATGTAGAGTAGAGGGAGGAGGGCCTTTGAGTCGCCTCTCAGCATGCAGCCTGGCTGTTTCTGCCTCCTTTGCCTGTAGCCGCATCTGCTCTATTTCCATCGCTGCCGCGCTCTGATGTGCACGGGACGAAGTGGGGAGGAGGGGGGGGGGGGGGGGGGGGGGGGGGGGGGGGGGGGGGGGGGGGGGAGAAGGGATGTAAAGTAGAGGGCGGAGGGTGTTTAGTCGCCTCTCAGCATGCAGCCTGGCTGTCTCCGCCTCCTTTGCCTGTAGCCGCATCTGCTCTATTTCCATCGCTGCCGCGCTCTGATGTGCACAGGACGAGGGGAGGCGGATGGGAAGTGGGAGAGGGACGACGGGGCATTGAGGGAGGAGGGACGTAGAGGGAGGAGGAAAGCGGAGAAAACAAGTTATTGAGAGCTGGCACACACATGTGCTCGACAAATACGCTTCACAGGTGCAAAAATCGACACAAAACGATTGTCCTGGTGCACAAAGAGTCATACCTTCCGCCCTGCCCCTCGAGACACGTCTCCCACACCAGATGCAGCAGCAGCCATGGCGGTAAAGTCAACAGCACCACCAGCACTGCCAGCACCGCCGCTCCTCTCCCTCCTGTGCCTGCCAACACTGCTGCGACTCGCCTTGAGCTTTCTCCCTGCAGCAGGAGAGGCATTCGTGGCCCCATACTCCCCTCCCTCGTATCCCCCTCCCTCATACCCCCCTCCCTCGTATCGCCCTCTGGTGGGCTTAAACGAAGGGGAGAGGCGCGGGAGCGGGCCGGAGCTACTAGTGAGGCTGTCTCTAGCGAGGACAGACGTCAAGCCATCCATACCACTCCGGGAGCGAGGCGGAGTGAGGAACTGGCCGAGCCGATTGGCATTAGCAGCATTGGTTTCACTGGCATTGGCGATGGGGGCAGGAGATATACCAGTGGGAATTTCATTCCCGCTGTGACTGTATTGGAAGCCGTCAAACCCAGCGCCTTCTAGTGTGCCCTGGGGCACGTCAAAAGGAGGGCCTGAGGACAACGCAAGCTGGTCGCGACTGCTCTTGCGTGACTTAGACTTGGATCGCGACTTTCTTTTCTCACCCTCCTGCTGCTGCTCTCCCCCTTGCTGCTGCTGCTGCTGTTGTAAGTGCTGGAGCTGCAGCTGTTGCTGCAGGAGCAGCAGCTGTTGGTGCGGGTCCGCTCCCGGGCTGCTGCTGAAGAGAGGTATTTCCTCTGACCTGCTGTTGTTGAAACTGCTGCTGCCCAGATTCATGCCGCTGCCGACGCCGATGCTGATGTTGTTGCTGCTGCTGCTGCGTGCCGGGGGTGGGGCGGCGGGCAGCGGACTCTTGTTCCGCCGGCTGCTCTTCCCTGGGTTGCCTGCCACGTGCAGGATGCATGGGAAGGCGGGTGGAGCGGAGTGTGTGGGACACACAGGACGTGAGAAAGCATAGGTTATTCGAGGAAAGGGGGTATCCGCAAAAGAGGGGCGAAGGAAACTTGTGCTTTCAAGTAAATACTTCATCTTACATTGCAGCTTGTCACCTGGACTCACCAGCTGTCCTCTGCACACAACGCATGCCCACCTGGAATCACCGCATTCCACCTGGACTCAACGAATTCCACCTGCACTCACCGCATTCCACCTGCACTCACCGCATTCCACCTGCACTCACCGCATTCCACTGGGACTCACCACCAGCTTTCATCTGTGCGGCCAGCAGCTGCTCCAACACTTCAGGGGGCAACCGCAGCGCCGCCAGCTCAGCAGCCGGCGTGTCCAATCGCAGGCCGGCAGCCAGCAGCTGATCCACCGACAAGGGCCCTCCCGCCTCAAACTGCCCCAGAGACATGCCTAGCAGCCCCCCCGTTCCGTCTGCAAACCCCCCTCCCCCTCCCGCTCCCCCTCCGCCTCCGCCTCCGCCCCCTCCTGCTTCCTCTGCAGCTGCAGCGTCGAGTGCAACAGCGTCGAGGGCAGCAGGGGAGCCGGTGATGTGCCCGTCTGCCTCGTGGCTGAGCAGCAGCTTGCCCGCCTGAATGACATACACTGACATGTGCGGCGGCTTGTTGCGGATGAAGTAGGCTCCTGTGCCGAAGGAATCGCTGTGCCTGGAAGGAGGGAGTGGGGGAGGAGGGGGTGTGGTGGAGGGAGAGAGGGGGAGAGCAGGGGTGAGTGGCTGAACAGCAGCTTGCCTCCTGAAGACTCACACAGGCTGGGCTATGAAGACTCACAGGCTGGGCTGCGCGCCGATGACGAGCATGGACGCCTGCAGGCGCATGGCCTCCTCCAGAATGCCCCTCACGCGCCAGTTGCTGCGCCCCACCTTCAGCTCCACGCGCGCCTGCACCTGGGGGAGGGGGAAAGGGGAGTGTGAGGGGGTGGGGAGGGGAGTTGGGGGGGGGAGTGTTGCGAGGGGCCCTTCGCTCTTCCAAAATGCCCTTCACATGCCACTTGCGGCGCCCCACCTTCAGCTCCACGCGTGGGGGAAGGGGGAGGGGGCCGGGTGGGGAAGAGGGGGGGCCGGGGATGCGCTTTGTCACATCCCAATGCCACGTCAGTGGAAAGTCTTGGACTAGGGTTTGTGGGATGGGCAGCAGGTGACTGGAGATCCTTATTGTTTTGTTATTGGCGTTCTTCCTTCCTTACTAGAGTTCTTTACGACAGACGCTTAGAAGGCCACCTTGGGTTCCACGCTGCGTATGCTTTCTGAGAATTCTCCAAAAGCATACGTTCTTTACGACAGACCCTTAGAAGGCCACCTCGGGTTCCATCCACGCCGCCAGATGGCATCATATGAGTTGAGTCGACTCAAAGCACAGCCTCACCTTGGGATCCACGGCGGCCTTGAGCTCACCTTGGGATCCACGGCCGCCTTGAGCTCACCTTGGGATCCACGGCAGCCTTGGGCTCACCTTGGGATCCACGGCCGCCTTGAGCTCACCTTGGGATCCAGGGCGGCCTTGAGCTCACCTTGGGATCCACGGCCGCCTTGAGCTCACCTTGGGATCCACGGCCGCCTTGAGCTCACCTTGGGATCCACGGCCGCCTTGAGCTGCAGCATCATGGGCATAACCACGTCCCGCAGGTACCTTAGTTTTGAGTATGAGTCGACTCAAACGTCACTGTAACATCTAGAGAACCTCACCTTGGGGTCGACGGCGGCCTTGAGTTGCAGCATCATGGGCTTCACCACGTCCGGTACGCCACGAACGCTGCAGTCGTCGCCTCGCTCTGGTAAATCTCCCCGCCCGCCCCCCCACCACCATACCCGCCTGCAGGGAAAATGGGGAGGGGACGGCGGGAAAGATGGGGACATCGACATGTGAGGACCCAAACGGCCGCAGGCACGCGCCTGCTGCAGGCACAGCCGTGGATGGGACCGGAAGAAAGAGGGGCATTTTGAGGCTCGCTCATGCGTGCGGCAAGAAACAGGGGCATGTTGGCAGGCCCGCGGCGCGGGTACGGCAGGAGCGCCGCAATCGACGCCTCGCTCCGGTAGATCTACCCCGGGAGAAACGGTTATGACATGAAAAAAAGTTACACGAGGTAAACTATCCCAGGATGAAGAACTACCTCGACACGGAATCTTCGGAATGATGCGGGGGGGGGGGAGGATAATAACCCTGTCGTCACCGCATTCAACGGTGAAAATGTAGCTCAATGCTACGGCTATCCCTTTAGGTTACCATACCGTTCTTACCGTACCATGCCATTGTGCCTCCCGTACCAAGCCTCCCATACGAAGCCTTCCATACCGAGCCTACCATGCCGAGCCTATCATGCCGAGCCTACCATACCGAGCCTACAGTACGAGCCTACCTGGAGCAGGAAGCCTGGAGACGATGTGGAGGAGGATGAGAATGTCATCGGCGCGCTTCATCTTCTTTCGGACTGCCCACTTTATGGCGTCGCGGCTCGACGGGTCCTTGCTCACGGCGACAACTATCCGCTCCGGGCCCCCGCTGAAGGGAGCCATCATGAAACTCTAACAACCTTTCAAGTCTTATAGCGTGAAGCCTTCGAGATTGTCGCGCTCGCGACCTCTCGCTACTGTTCACGTCCTCTCGATTTCTCTCGCTTCCTCTCACTTCTTCTCGTGCGGAAACGCTAGAGCTTATATTTTCATGTGCTGCGTTGGGAATGGCGTGGCTCTAATTAGATTAAGGCTCGACTAATAAATAACAGCCTCACATTCAACCGCTTGAGGTGAAACTCGCATAAATCTCGAAGAAGAAAAAAACAAGATATCCTGTTGATTATATTGTTTCAAGTCTAAAAGATTCAACCATTGCGCGACTGCGGCTGAAAATCGTTCGAAGCGCCGATCTCGTTCCCATGGGGACTTCTGTCGTGCGCACTGACTCAGTGCTGACGTAGGCTGTAAGACGCGCCTAAGTCAGTGGATCCCTCCCTATCCGACGGTACGCCATTGTCGGGGTGGTTGGTAGGCGTTTGAGTCGGATCACTAGCCAAGGACCACTGCGCCTTCGCCGGTAGAATAAGGACTATGAATAAAGCCAGGTTTGTCGGAAGAAAGGGATCGCAAAAGATACTACACGCACAAGCAGGATTTGCGTGCGCCGCCTTTTCCTGTATTTCCTGAGTGGCTGATTGGTCCTCCGTGTTGGTGAGACGCAATGTGAAATCCAAAGAAGAAACAATCACAGAAACGGAGGTCCAGCATCGTCAACTTGTCCTCGGGAACCAATGTTTGCAAAAAATGCTGCTTTCTGTCTGTGTCTGCTCTGCTCTGCTGCTTGGCTTTTCAGCCACGGAACGGAGCTGAAAGGCTTGGCTTGGCTGCCTTGGCTGCCTTCCTGCCGTTCATGTCCACCAATCCTGCCCCTACTGCCCGTACTACAACAGTCACGCACGGGGGCATGGTCTGCCAAACTGCCTCGTCTCGTCACTCTCAAGGTTTGATTTGTCATAGAAAACTGAAATCGATGCTGCCACTGTACTGTCTGTTCCGCTGCCCACTGGAGCGGAAAACTTTTCCAATCGGGACCGAGTTTGTCAGGATTTGCTCAAGTTGCTTTCGATTTGCATTCTCGACGTTTGATGTGGGCATTTGTACAGCCAGAGTTGTCTTGAGCCGGACTCTGTGTTTTTCTCTGCCCGTGATCGGTGAGGAAAACTCATGAAAATCGGAGACGCGCGGATGTCAATGCTGCCCCCTCTGACAATGCTGCCCCCGCATTTGCTGTAGGAAATACACCCTCATTCTCAGTCTACGCACAATCGGGAGCAGCGACAACAGTGTTGTCAGGTAGCGTCTCTGTGCTTGTGGCCGAACCCCCTAATGTTGCCAGGCACACCATGCACCAAGCGCCAAAACAGTAACATTCGAAACGACTTGTTCACTTTGTCCTACACTGTGGCCAAAGATTCCACATCAAAACACACAAGAAACAGACAATTCCTAACACAGGTTCAAAACACATACAGAATATCTACGTTCGGTAGAAAGGGGTAACGTATGGTAGAGCGAAAAGCAACGGCAGCCAACCACACATGTGAGCGCACTGTACACTTCCTGCCAGTCAAAGTCAACAGCTGCATTACCAACGTGGCAGTCGTGATTGTGCTTGTAGAGTATGTGCATGCACCATTCTAGGCACGTTGCAGTCACTACAAGCGTTCGGTGCATGTGGCGATTGTGCACAGACTGAGAATGAGGGTGTATAGCCGTTGATTTGAACGAACTGCCAACTGAAGCCGACATTCGTTGCAAGCGACCATCGTTACCCGTTTAGAGTTCTTCCGAACGGGTAAGGGTTAGCACACCTATATATAGAGAATAAAATATCTACCAACATAAGACCTACCACGGAATGCACCCTAAAGCTACTGCTCAGCATGTTCCATTTTCTCTGCTACTTCACCTCTCTGTCGTTCTTCTACAATTAATCCAACGCTTTCATCACCAAATTATCATTCTCCCCATCACATTCCAGCCATCATCCGCTCCATCATAATCACAGCCTCCTTTTGTGCTCTCATGAGCACTGGCATCACCACTTCCCCAAGGTCAGGCCTCTTTTTCCTCTTCATCTCACTGCACCGCACTGCAATCCTCGCAACCTCCATCGCCAGCCCAACAGGCCATTTTCCTGCCTTTCCATCCAGAAGCTTCCCCAACGCCTCCTCATCCCCTTCATCTGCAGCATCCTCTATTTTCTCATACCGAGCCGGCTGCCGCCCGGTCAGCAAATCAAACAGGATAATCCCAAGGGCATACACATCCGATTTCGGGCTGAAATCGCCCGTCCGCTGATACTCCGGGTCGACATAAGCAACGGTCCCGATCGGCATAGACGTGTGCGCGTGCGTAACATTAAAGCCCTGGTCCGATCCCCCCATCCCCGGCATCTGCCTCGCGACCCCCACGTCGGCCAGCTTCGCTACAAGCCGCTCGTCTAAAAGCACGTTCGCGGGTTTCAAATCCAGGTGGATAATAGGCTTTGGTTGCGAGTGTAGCGCGAGGAGCGCGGAGGCGACTTCAGCGGCGATGCGGAGGCGGGCGAACCAGGGGAGGGGCGGCGAGTTGTTGGCGCAGAGCAGACGCTCCTCGAGAGTTCCGTTGGCCATGAACTCGTACACTATGCAGTGGTGCGACGGACAGCACCCCAGCAGGGAGAGCACATGTGGGTGGTTGATCTGACTCAGTAGCTCCACCTGAGGGATTGGGAGTAGAGGGAAGGACAGGGGGACAGCGTGCGTTGGTCATGCAGTGGTGTGAACAGACAGCACCCCAGCAGCGACAGGACATATGGATGGTGGGTTTGACTCAGCAGCTCGACCTGAGGGATCGGGGGTAGAGGGCAGGGTGGGGGCAGAGAGTGAGTTGGTCATGGGGTGGTGCGATGAGCGGCACCGCTGCTGCGACAGCACATGGGGTGGTGAATCTGGCTCAGTAGTTCCACCTGAGGGGTTAGCTGCACGAAATGGGCGTCGAGGGGAGTAAGACAAAGACGTGCATTAAGGGAAAGTACCGAGGGTATCGAAGGTTGGTCAATGATGGGGCAAGAGTGCGCTGGGCTGCACTGGGGCAAGAGTGCGCTGTGCTGCACTCTTGCCTTGCCCCCATCATTGAGCATCCTTCGATGATGAGGAAAAAACAAGGCACCAGAGGAAAGATTCACAAGGTGGTTGATTTGGCTTAGTAGCTCCACCTGAGGGATTGGGAGTAGAGGGAGAGACGAGTAGTGGGAGTGGGTTGGTATTGCTGTGGTGGGAAGGACAGTATCCCAGCAGGGTCAGCACATGTGGGTGGTGAATCTGACTCAGCAGTTTGACCTGAGCGGGTAGTAGGAGGAAACCGGCATTGAGGGTAGTACCAAGAGTTTGAAGAAGTGGTTTGAGAACACTCGTCTCAAAACAGTTCCACACTCTCCGCCCCCTCCCTCACAGTGTTTTGAGACGTCTCAAAACACTTCTTCAAACACTAGTACCAAGAGCATTGAAGGAACGTTAGTGATGGGGGCAAGAGCGCACGTTTGGGCTGTGAGAAAAAGACAAGGCACAAGAGCTTCACAGGGCGGAGGGTTGGGTGGGAAGAAGAAAGGGAAAAGGAATGGAATGCAACAAAAGATAAGGTGTTAACTTTTAGAATCCTCAGAAGTAACACTAACATGACCGTTTTTTGGATGACCAGAGTTGTCAACAGCAGCGGCTCACCTCTCGCTGGAATTCCTTGGCTGCCCGGGTGGCATCTTCCGTCTTTATCACCTTCACAGCCACCTTGCTGCCGCCCAGCAGCCCAGAAAAGACGGTGCCGCAGCCGCCCTCCCCCAGCAGCAGCTGGGGACTGAAGTTGTCCGTCGCTCTCTGGTGTGCGGGAGAGGGGAGAGAGGAGAATGGGGAGAGAGGAGAATGGGGAGAGAGGAGAATGGGGAGAGAGGAGAATGGGGAGAGAGGAGAATGGGGAGAGAGGAGAGTGTACGGCAATCAGAAGAGCAATGCAGATGACAGCGAGAGGGCAGCACACCACTCCGGTATTCTCCCAGCAGTAGCTGCGGGCTGAAGTTGTCCGTCGTTCTCTGGTGTGCGGGAGAGCGGGAGAGCAGGAGATGAGAGTTGACAGCGTGAGGGTGGGAGAGGGAAGGAGTGGAGTGGAGGGGAGAAAAAGCTCAATGCATCTAGAAACCCATGCCGCCACATTTTTGAGAATTCTCAAAAATCAATGCATCTAGAAACCCATGCCGCCGCACCTGGATTTCCTCATAAAAGTATACACGACAGAGCAGTAATCAGAACTTTGACGTGCGTCATAAATCGTCTCCTCATAAAAGTAGAGACTACAGAGCACTAGCAAGAAGACACAGTAGACTCGAGCAAAGCACGAGTAGTACTCGACACGGTCATATGAGCCTCAGAGCCTCATCGCCCCACCTCATCATACCTGGATGGATATCCTTATAAGGGAGCACACGAGGTCCGATGCGTCTACCTCACAACACAAGCTCAATGCATGCATCTTCAAAGCTAAGCAATCATGAGAGTGTAATGATACCTGGATCTCCTCATAAGAGTACACGCGGCAGTACACCCCACTGGACGCCTGCAGCACTCCTCCCGCCACCGCTGCTCCACTTTCTCCCGTCCCACCGGCCTTTTCCACCCCCGCCACAGCAGACGCAGCTGCCACCATGCCTGCCTCCTTCAGACCAGCCCCAACGGCTCCACTGCCATTGCTGGTGCCATTGCTGGTGCCAGTGCTGGTGATGGGAGAGCTAGTGGTCTCGCCCCCGCTGCCCGCCCTGCTGCTCGCACCGCTCCCGCTCCCCATGGTAAACGTGCTGCCTGACCCTGTGCTGCTCGCAACCCCGAACACCCCGCTGCCACCACCGCTGCCACCGCTGGCGCCGCTGCTGCCGTGCTGCTGTGACCGGGCCACGGCATGAACCACTGAGGCAGCGTCATTCGCATCGCTCCATGTGCTGCTGGCCCCTATGCCGCCCCCACTAGCACGCTCCCCTCCTGCTGCCCCGCCTCCCATTCCTCCCCCGTCCCCTCTCCCCACTCCTCCCAATCCTCCCACCCCCACGCCTCCTACCCCTGCTCCCCCGCCCACATTAACACCCTCCATAAGAGCAGCGAGCTTGGCCGCTGCCTGAAGCTGCTGCTGCTGGTGCAACAGCATCCGCTGCTGCTGCTGCTCTCGCAGCTGCTGCAACTCCTGCTCCACCCCCCTCTCCGCCCCCTTCCCTCTGCCGCTCGCCTCCTGCCCGTCCCCCCTGCCCCTATCCTCCTCTGAAGCAGCAGCATCTGCTACACTCGGCACCTCAGCTGTTACCTCTTTGCTGCTGCTCCCATCCGAAACCACGGAACGATCTGACAGCGAAGAGCCAGCACGCACGAAACTGCCCTTGCCAAAACTACCACTCCCACCACCACCACCACCACCACCACCACCGCCGCCGCCGCCGCCGCCGCCGCCACCTTCACTCTCCGATGCCACCTGCACCGCACCCGACCGGCTCTCACCGCTCCGGCTCTCGCTGTTCCGGCGGCTGTACCCTGGGGAGGACCCAGCAGAGGGGACGGAAGGCGAGGAGGAGGTACCAGGGAGGGGGCTTCCGGTCATGGAGAGAGCAGGGGAGCGGTCGGGAGGGGTGGATTCGCCGTGCTTGGTCAGCAGGACTTTGTCTTTAGAGACGACTATTATGGAGAGTGAGGGGGGGCGGTTCTTGAGACAGAAGGCACTCGTGCTGCCTGATAGCTTGCCGCGCCTGGGGGGGGAAGAAAGTGGGGGGGGAAGAAAGTGGGGGGGGAAGAAAGTGGGGGGGGAAGAAAGTGGGGGGGGAAGAAAGTGGGGGGGGAAGAAAGTGGGGGGGGAAGAAAGTGGGGGGGGAAGGAAGGAGAGGGGGATGTGCAGGGAGGGGAGAGGGGACAGGAAGGGAGAAGAAGAGGGGAGAGGGTTGTTAGTGAGGGAGAGCATGGGTGGGCGATTCTTGAGACAGAAGGCACTCGTGCTGCCTGATAGCTTGCCACGCCTGGGAAGGGAAGAAAGGGGGAGGGCGAGGGCAGAGAGGGAGGGGAGGGAGGCGATGGATGGGAGATAGGGGCGCAGAAGCTTAACGGGGCGCCTGAGTACGCAATTCCAACTGCTTACATGGTGAAGAGGCCGCGCGCGAGTTAGAACCAAGCACGAGACTGCTTATAAGACGCCTCAATAAAAGGCAGACTGCTTACACGACCTTTCAGGGAGTGGCTGCTAACATGGTGAACATTCGTGGCCTTGGTGCCGAGTATGAGGCACGTGGCCTGCAGCTTTACAATCACAATCATGATCCCCTCATACTCACACCTAAACACCCCTGTAGCTAAATACCGCTGTAGCTTAGCTTACTACCCCTTACATGGTGAACATGCCGCGGCCCTTGGTGCCGAGAACGAGGCACGTGGCCTGCAGCTTCTTCGCCTCCTCCATGATGCCCGTGTCTCTTGAGTCGTCTCACTACCCATCATCACATGCCCAACACAAGGCAGAGCGGCTCACATGTTGAACATTCCGCGGTTCTTGGTGCCGAGAACGAGGCACGTGGCCTGCAGCTTCTTCGCCTCCTCCATGATGCCCGTGTCTCTTGAGTCGTCTCACTAACTAGCCATCATCACATGCCCAACACAAGGCAGAGTGGCTCACATGTTGAACATTCCGCGGTTCTTGGTGCCGAGAACGAGGCACGTGGCCTGCAGCTTCTTCGCCTCCTCCATGATGCCCGCGTCCCGCGAGTCGTTGCGGCCCACGCGCAGCTCCAGGCGCACCTGATGGGGGAAATGGTGGGAGGCGGGTGGGTGGGGGAGAAGGTGATGGGGGCTGTGCATGGAAAGGGCAAGGCGTGGGGCCCTCCATCATCCCCGCGTCCCGCGAGTCATTGCGCCCCACGCGCAGCTCCAGGCGCACCTGAAGAGAGGGGGAGAAACGGGATGGATGGGGGACGGGGAAATAGGGAGCAGTGAGCTCAGCTCTGTGAGGAAAGTGCAAGGCGTCTGACCCTCCTCCGTCCATGATCCCCGCGTCCCGCGAGTCGTTGCGCCCCACGCGCAGCTCCAGGCGCACCTGAGAGGAGGGGGCGGGGGGGCGGATGGGTGGGGGACACGGGCGGGGGAGTGGGGAGCAGTGAGCTAGTCGTTTGACCCTCCCCCCTCTATGATCCCCGCGTCCCGCGAGTCGTTGCGCCCCACGCGCAGCTCCAGGCGCACTGGAAGAAGGGGGGAGAGGGGGGGCGGTGGGAGGTGGATGGGGGAAGTGGATGGGGGACGTGAGGAGCAGTGAGCCCAGCAGCACAGTGGATGAGGCGCAAGGCGTGTGACCCTTCCCCGTGATCCCCGCGCCCCGCGAGTCGTTGCACCCCACGCGCAGCTCCAGGCGCACCTGATGGGGGCGAGATGCGGATGGGGATGGCGGAAATGGGGATGGCGGAAATGGGGATGGCGGAAATGGGGATGGTGGAAATGGGGATGGAGGAGGCGGACGCGGAATTGAGGAGCAGTGAGCTGAGCTTAGCCATTGATGCTTAGAAACTGGCTCCGTTCTAATCTTGGCTTTGAGTTGTTTCATAAGTCAGCGCAATGAGTCTAGTCGCTCGCTTACCTTGGCGTCAATGGAGGCCTTGAGCTGCGAGAGCATGGGCATGACGGCGGTGCGCACGTGCTGCACGATCGCCGTCTTCGACACCGAGCTTTGTGCCACCTCGTACCCATCCGGACCTGCGCAGATATTAGAAAAAAAAAAAAGTTAAATACTATTTACTGAAAAAAAACCGCGTCTTTGAGTCGTAACCATCCGGACCTACCACAAACGCGTACGCGCACGGTACGGATGAGATCCGATCTGAGTCACGGCTGAGTTAGCACAACCGAAGCAAACCCGGCGCGTCTTACCCGGCGTTATAGTGACGATGTGAAGCAGCACGACCAGGTCGTCGGAATGCCGCCGTTTGAGGCGCCTCAAAACTCTCCCTGACACGTCCGTACCCGTCGCACAGCGGCCCGTCTCACCTGACGCGTGCTTACCCGGCGCTTTAGTGACGATGTGGAGCAGCACGAGCAGGTCGTCGGGATGCCTTATGAGGCGCCTCAAGTCTCTCGTGACACGTCCCTACCCGTTGCAGAGCCCGTCTCACTTGACGCGTTGCTCGTGTCACCTGAGGAAACTTACCCGGCGCTTTGGTGACGATGTGAAGCAGCACGAGCAGGTCGTCGGGATGCGAGATCTTATTCGCGACGGCCCATCGCAACGAGTCCTTGCTACACGCGTCGTTGCTCACAGGCACCAGCACCCGCTCGTGACCGTCGCCCTCCCACGACATTTCCCCCGCTCTAAGCTCAACAGCTGTTCGCGACTCGCTAATGGCTGACCACTAACAAGGCAATGCCTCGCTTGGAAAACTTCCCAGCTTTCATTCTTATTTAAAAAGTTCGTATTTAAAAAGTTTCTACGTTTAAAGCTAGTGATTCGCTTGGAAGAAATGACGTCGTTCAAGCACGGAAAGGAGTAAAGAGCTCCGTGCATTCCAAGTGGCGACACGGCGATGCTGGACGGAAAGCTAGCCCTAGCGCTGCCTGTTGGATCTAAAATGCTAGCGTGGATATTCCCTCGAAGCACATATGAAAGGCGGCGAAGTTAGAATACTGTAGAGCTTTTGAGCATTCTTGCTGTACCGGTGGCTGATCGTGGATGGGAGAACTGACCACGAACTCTCGCGGGCTGATTGTGGGCGCAGGCTGACCACGGGAGCAGTTTTGGAATACCCCCCAACGACCCGGCTGTGAGGTCGCGGACACTAGCATCAAGTTCGGCGATCGAACGTGTATACCGATCTGTTACCGTACTGGAAATCTTTATAAACGTTTCTGACCTCTATAAAACCCGTCAAAATACAGACCTACGGCAGGATCAATTGCCAAAATCGATACGACTACACCTGCGTCAGCGAAGATGCTTGGAGAAGGAAGCGCACTGAACAAATGTTACTACACCAATGAACGCGAGTTTTGCTTGCTGGCTGGTTCCTGATTGGAGGGCAACCCTCCATCAAAACAGCTGCACCTGTTCTCCGGTATTTCCACACCCCCTACCCTCGTTTTTGCCAGACACCCTATACGGCTTGAGGATCGATGAGACGGACACCCTGACACTACGGGTCTATCAGTAAAGAACCGTCAGCGTTCTGGCTATTCGAAACTCAAATTTGTAATCAGAGTGAGCGGGCAAAATTCTCAGTGCCTTAAAGATAGTGTGTTAAACTCGCATTGAGGTCGTATCCTATACCCTCGAAACTCCCGCGATCGTTTCCAACTACCTTCGAAATGAGACTTTTTCGAGGGTTGGTACCCAAGGTCGTGAAGATAGGGGGTGTGGAATTATCGCAGGATAGGTGTAGTGGGCTGCTGCTGCCACACTGTGGTTGGGACTGAGGGCTGCTGCCACACTGTCCACCACAAGCCGCAGAACCATCAAAATTGCTTCCGTGACTCCGTCCCAACCCAACCGAAAGCCTCATCGGAACTCGGTCGTCGGACCCGTTTTGCCAGTGTCGACAGGAGGGGTCGTCGGAGCCGGGTCTGACGAGGCGGGCGACTGACGCGCGTGCGGGCCCGCCAGCCTGGCCCAGGGCTGGGCCGAGCGCACGACCGCCGCCCTCCGAAATTGAACAGCGACCCACGTTACCGGGTGGGGTCGGCGAACTGGCGACCCCTCGCGCGAGGGAAAGTTACCCTCGCGCGAAGGCAGCCCACACGTGCTGCCTGCCCGCGAGGTCCTAGTAACCCATCGCGGCCTGCCCGGACGGGCAGGCGAGGGCCGTGCGAAAATACGGGCCCCCCTCGGGACACTCGACAATTTCGCGATTCGCAGCGGTGGCGCCACGTGTTCGCCCGTGGCTTCGCATCGGGCGCATGCGAAATTTTTGTCGAGGCGGAAATAAATTCTCTCCCATCGCATGCATTCTATCGTCGCGAACCGCTACGAAATCGACACGTGTCGATTGTAGCGTCGCTCCGCGCGCAGGAGGATTCGTGCGTCCCCTCGCCGACCTGGGCCAATGGACGCGAAGTCGACGCTCTACCAAGGCGGAGACGGACCACCTGTGCCACTTGCGCATCCGCCCTCCGAGCACTGCCGAGCCAGGCCCTGCACCCTTGGGCGATGCTGAACGGGCCTGGGGGGGGGGGGGGGGGGGGCACCACCTCCTTTTCTCTGTGGAAGGTGGCCTCGCTCCGCATTTTCGGCATCTCTTTCGGATTTTCAAACATTGACAGCTCTGCGCCTCCCCTCTCTCCTACCAGAGCCGTCCGCCTCTTTTCTTAGTCGACAGATATGGAGCCGATCTCCGCCGCCGATAAGTCGGCGCCGACATCGGCCGACTTTCCCCTTCGGGTGCAAATGGGTCGCGGTCTCAGCTTCACCTTAGAGTGGAACGACTACGCCGTCCTTCGCGACCAAAAGAAAGAGTTCACCGAGAGATGCTTTGGACTCGCCATCAGGTGGGACGCGGGTAGTCGCGGTAGTCGAATAGGGTAGATGTCGGTGCCGACCAACCCTAGTAGGGCGCACTGTCGCCGATTGTCTTCCGACGTACGTCGGCGGGCGCGTTTGACGAAGCACGTCGACATGGCAGCGTTTGCTTACCAGCCATGTTCTCATCCCTCGTGCTCACTCGTGCGCTCAGGTTCGCTTGGTTTGACATTGGGCGGGACGACCTGCGGTTGTGGGTGCTCGGGATCGGCCCGCTTCGATCGGCCATGAAAGCCGCCGACCATTCTTGCTTTGCTAAGGCTTTCGACGCCGACATCGCCGCTATCCCGCTGAAATCGACGTGAGCTGTTACCCCGTTGTCCAGTCATCGTTTTTCAGTGTCGGCCGCATCAACGCCTTATGCTGTGGTCGACGCCGTCGTTTATTGCGTGTGCAGCGGCGGCCCGCTTCCAGGGTCACACTGCAGCGTCATAGCCATCCTCTACCCAGGAGATGTGCTGAAGGCTGAGGGACAGGTCTGCAGGACATCGATCCGGCACATCGACCCGCACACCGGAAAGGGGAAGCACCGCGACGAGGCCGTCCGCGTCCTGAAGTAAGTTGTGAATAGTCGTCGCTGTCGAGTTTGTTAGTCGCCGACACAGGGAATCTCATGCTGACCTCCTCTCCACTACGTTGCTCCAGGCTATTCCGCACGGCTGCCCTGGCCGAGCTGGGGCGTCCCGGTAGGAAGTGGGACGGGGCGCCTCCATCACAAGCAGTGGTGGAGGAAAGGCTTGCAGACTGCGACGACCCTATCCGCGACGTGAGTTGCACGTTTAGGCTCCGCTACGGTCTGCGCGTATCTGTGTGCACCGCTCATATTGTGCCGCGCTTGCCTGTGCTGTATGCAGAAAGTGCCGGGCACAGTGTCGGACGGGCATGTCGGCACCGGCATGCTTGCCGCGACGTCGTTCGGGTGGGTGGCCAAGCAGATCGGCCTGCTGACGGGCGACAAGGCTCGGAGCGCTGTGAGCATCGAGAACATCAAGGTCGCGGGTTTGAGGTCGCTCCGTGATAGCATGGTCGATTACATCTGCCATCGTGTCGCCGAAAACCGGATAGCGGCGCCGACTTCAGGCGCCGACGGACCCGCCGAGGGTGCGATTGATGACGACGGCGCGGAAAGTCAGACAGTGCCCCAAGCAGCAGCTGCCGCCCAGCTCCAGGAGGACTTGCCGGTGTCCGCGGAAGGAGGAACCGGTGGAGGACTAGGCGACGATGCGGCAGGCGCAGGCAGGAAGGAAGAGGAGTTGACGGACTCTGGCTCAGAGTCGGAGTCGGAGGGGGAGGAGGAGGACGAAGGGGAGAAGGAGAATGAGGACGAGGAGGATGACGAGGGCAAGGACGAGAACGATGAGGTGGTGGAGGTGGTGGCTGGGAAGGACGAGGCGGCGCACGAGGAAGGGGTGGAGGAGGAGGTGGAGTACGAGCTGGAGTACGCAGACGGCACGGTTGAGGCGGTGGGGTCGGCGGACGAGAAGAACGAGGAAGCGGAGGATGGCGATGCGGGTAATGCTACGGGGTCGGCAGGTGAGGGGAAGGAAAAGGATGAGGTCGGCGTGGAGGCAACGACGGAAACGGGCCAGGAGGAGGCGGCATGCGAAGGTGCGAAGGTGTCGGTCGACGCCGGCGAAGGTGCGAACATCGCGGGCGTGCAGGAGACGGGGGACGCATCTGGTCGGCAGGGCCCTGCAACGGACGACGTCGAGGAGCTGCGACGGGAGAACTTGCTGTTGAGGGCGGAGAACGCTCGGCTGCAGGGTTTGCTCGATGCGGAACGGGCTCGGCTGGACGCGTTTTTTGTTGGGCTACGTGGACTCGTCGACCACCTGAAGGAGTTGGCCGAGCAGGTCGACGACACCGAGAAGTATGCGGCGGAACAGCTGCGAAACGCGGCGGAGGCCATGTCGCAGACCATCACGGGCAACATCACCGGCAGCTTCGACGAGGCGTGGAAGACGATGAAGACCTTCGCGGAACAGGCGTCGGCGTGGCTGGAGGACTTCGACAACCCGGAGGGAAATGTGGCGTATCAACGCGCCTTAGCGGTCACCACCTTGGCCGACCACGTCGACAAGGTGGTGGGCGATGCGCAGGAGGATTTGCGGGAGCACATCACGAGCCAGTTGTCCGCCGCAGCTGTCAACATCGCCACAGCTGTGACCGGCAGGCTCCCCGTGCAGCCGCCGCCACCGCCTCAGCCCACGCCGCCCGCCCTCCCGGAAGAGCTCTTGAAGTCGTTCAAGGCCGACATCATGAAGACGGTGACGGAGGCCACCGAGCAGTCGTTCGTTGCGTCCGGGATGAAGATGTTGACCGAGATGATCGGCACGGTGGCGCCTGGTCGACGTGGTTCGTCGCCTTCGGCCAATGACGCCGACGCCGCGCAACAGAGGGCGGCCGACAAGCAAGGCCTGAAGAGGTCGGGCGACGGTGACGACAAGGAGAGCTCGAAGCGGAGCAAGGGATCGGACGGGAGCCGCGTCACGAAGCCTCCTGCGCGGAGCGTGGTCGACATGCTGAAGGCGAAGGGGTGGAAGGTGAGGGGAGGGTCGACCAGCAAGGGAAGCGGAAGCGGGGGGGCGGACGGGAGACCTGCCGACGGGATCGCGGCTAACGTCGATGCACCGCCTGGCCCGCCTTTGGACGCCGAGCAGACCCATCCTCAGGCGAGCGGTGGGAAGGACGCGGCCCCCACTGCCCAGGCGGCGAAAGTCGGAGGCGCCGGAACCACCCAGGGGCCGTCTGACGCGGTGCCGGCCAAGGGCAAGGCGATGTCTGCGTCTGCTA